CAGTTTGGCAACAATAAATGTCACATTCTGCCAAGAAAGAATAAGGAAGTATTAGTGTCATTTTTGGTTACAGTAAATATTGTCTTTACCTCACTGTGAAAAATCCATGTGTGTACATGCATTTCATTTTGAATTTAAAAACAATCACTTTATGACGTTGCATAAGGACTCATAGATATTTAGTTGTTATGTCTGTGTGAATGAAACGAGTGCTAATGGAAGCGTTTTGGCTATAATTATGACTATTATTATCACAATTAAGTTTGTGGGATTACGAACAGGGAGAGACTTGGTTAATGTTTTTATCATTTTGTGCACATCCATGCCAACACTTATCAAATTATTTTTATTTTTGTCAACAAAGTGTTAAGGAATTACACAGGGACGAACAGGTCTCTTGAGCTGTTTTCTGTGGATCTGGGTTACTCTTACTCCTGCAAGGCTGAGACGGTGTACATGGGGGGCGGTGTGAGTCTGGATCTGACTCAATACAGGGTTCAGGCCTTCGATATCAAAAACAAGAATTTCGGACCACGTAAGTATAGAGTGATGATGCTTCATTATATTAAAGCACTCCATCCTTGTAGTGGATGACAGTTATTTTTAAAGTAACCTCTACTTTATGTTACAAGCTTACAAGTTATGTTGCTATCGAACTGGACTCCTTGCATTTTCATGCACTGTATACCTTATGTCCTAGATGCTTCATACAGCTTGTTTACAAAGATTGTTGCAAAACTGTCATGGCAATGCAAAAGAGCTGGTTAGACCAGCCAGATGACTCTAAACAAATGTCTGCCTGTTATAAAGTTCAAAGGCCACCTATTAACTAATGTGGATCTTATTCCCAACATGTTTTTTAAAAACATTTTAAACCAATTTGGAGGATATCAAACATTTTATATTTTTTTAGAACACATATGCTGTGTCCAAAATTGAATACTGTATAGTAGGTATTACATTTGGTTTAAAACTTGCTTTGCGACCGTTAAAAAAGTATGTAGTATGAATGAAATTCAGACAATTTTTTTAACCTACTATATAGTATGGAAGTAGGCATATTTAGACACGGGGATATTGTTCATTTGTCATGCATCTCCAAGCACTGACACACATTTCTGTGTGAGTTTGTTGTGTTCAGAACAACTTGAAAAATCTGTTCAGATTTGAAAAGTCGTGTGGTGTATACCAGCTTTTAATTTTTGCAACTACAATATTGACTTCATTTTCATTTCTTACAATGAGATACAAGATCAATGTGCTCTGTTTGTGCTTGTACAACAGCTGAACTATGCAAGGCTGATCAACCTGACTACCGCGTTCCCATCGCCGTGGGCATAATCCTCATCATACTCATCATCATTGTAGTCATTGCTTACCTCATCAGCAGGAAACGGAGGACTGATGGGTACCAGTCACTATAAAGGCCTAAAATTCATGATTTATGAGAATACTAGCAATTCCAGTTTGCAGGAATTTTAATGCTGTTATGTATGTCTTAAGTGAATGTTGCCTATGTATACCAATGAACATGGTGGCCTAGGATCTGTCCAAACAATGTGTACTATGCAGTGACAGTCTGCCACATCCTAACACAAGCTCAAGTTACCATCACACTTTCTACATCACTATACGATCATAATACAACCAGATGGCAAATGGCTTAGTACATGCCTTTTTTAGCCTACATTTGTAAACTAATTATCTTTTTTAAAGAACCTAACCTAATACTGACAATACAGAAGGATGTGCATAATCTACTGTTGCTCCATCTTAAGTGTAATTGTTCTCTAGGTGCTCGTCACTGTCTGTCACACATCTAATGCATTTTCTGTGATAGACTGATAAGCCATTGTTAATCTGATAAATATGTACCCTATTCTTTCCAAAGGGGCCTTAAAACCTAAAGGGATGCCTAAAAGGGAATTCAGTTGCTTACATTGTGTAATTAGTAATAGAAATGATTTTAATAGTAGTTGCATTCTAGTATTCATTCTGTGCATTTTTTCTGTTTTTAACCTGAAGAGCTTTACTATACTGTATTGTGATCTGAAGCTGCATTTACAGTGTGCACTGAATTTTGGGAATAATGTGTAATTTTGGTTACAAATAAAAAATAATTTGTTTAAAAAATCAGAGATTATAATGATTTTTTATTTAATATGCATTAAATAGAACACAAAACAAACAATGCATCATCCTGGTAACACGTTTAAATTTGGTTTTATTTAATCTGTCATTCTCACCTTACACAGCATTGTTGTGTGTTAGATGAAAAGCAGTTCACTCGTATTTAAGAATATCCATTGTGTATCAATGGAACCAATAAAAACTGGAGATTTTTGTTCACATGACCGAGTTCACATGAATTCTGTGGTGTTATCCTGGAACGGGTGCTCCTGAAAAGTGAAAAACACAAGCACTATTTTTGTGCTTTACTTTTGCGCAGAAACCACACAAAAGCAGAAAGGATTTTAGAAAGAGCAAAGGGTTTTAGAAGAGCAGTTTTGATTGATTTCACCTATCAATAAATATAAGTGAAATGTATTAGTATGTAAACTGTTAAGCCATTTATAATCGTAATTTTTTTTGTTACAAAGAATTACTTAGCTAAATGTGCTTGTTGCTAGAGTGAGACAGTGGGATTGATAAAGGTCATCTGTACAGTGAAGTCACTCATGCAGCCACTATCAACCTTATTTTGCAAATTACAAATCAGCACGTTAGTAAAAAATAGTTTTTATTTTAGTATGGTTACCCACTTTCTCAATCAATCAATCAATAAATGAATGATAGATAGATAGATAGATAGATAAAACACTGCCATCATTTTTTGCAAACTTTCATTAAGTATTGAGGGAAAACGCACTGCAAAAGACGTAACATTATAGATAGATAGATAGATAGATAGATAGATAGA